GGGGAAGGAGGGGAGGGAAGCCGGAAATAAAGCAGGGAAGGAGGAAAGGAAAGGAAGGAAAGGAAAGAGGGAGGGACGAGGATGGAAGGGAAAGGATGGAAGGGAGAATGGAGATGGGGAGGGGGGAGGAAGGAGGGTAGGGATGGAAGTGAAGGAAATGAAGAAAAGAAAAGTAAGGAAAGAATGAAAGGAAGGGAAGGAAGGAAGGGGTTGGAGGGAAGTGGGAAGGAAAGCAAGAAAGGAAGGAAAGGATGGGAGGAAATGAAGGAAGGAAATGAGGGAGGGAAGAAAAAGGAAGGGTAAGGATGGAAGGGATGGAAGGGATTCTTATCTAAGAAGGGAAGATAAAGGAAGAATGGAAGGAAATTGAGAAGGGGAGGGGGGTGAAGGAAGGAAAGGAGGGAGGAATGGGATTGAAGGGATCGAAGGAAAGGAAAAAAAAAAGAAGGAGGGAAGGAAGGAAGGAGGGGGTGGAGGGGAGTGAAGGAGGGAGGAAAGGAGAAGGAAGGAGGGAGGGAGGGAGGGAAGGGGGAGGGAATGAAGGAGGGAGGGAGGAAGAAGTAAGGAAAGGAAGCAAGGAAGTAAGTAAGGGAAGGGAGAGAAAGAAGGAAGGAAAGGGGAAGGGAAGAAAAGAGAAGTTTTGGTAAGGAAGAAAGGGAAGGATGGGAGGAAGAAAGGAAGGAAGAAAGGAATGGGGAAGGCAGGAGGGAGAGGAGGATAGAAATGTTTGGAAGGAAGGAGAGAAAGGAACGAAAGAATGAAGGAAGGAAGGAAGGAAGCAAGGAATGAAGGAAGGAAAGGAAAGGAGGAAAGGGATGAAGGCATAAAGGAAGGAAAGGGATGGAGAGCAGGAGGAAAGGAAGGAAGTTAAGGAAGGGTAGGAAGGAAAGAAAGGAAGGGAAGGGGAGGGAAGGATGATGGGAATGCAGAAAGGAAAGAAGAGGAGAAATTGAAGCAAAGGGAAAGGAGGAGAAGGGGAAGAAGGAAGGAAGGGAGGGAGGGAGGGAGGGAGGGAGGGAGGGAGGGAGCGAGGGAGGGAGGGAGGGAAGGAAGGGAAGGAAAGGATGGAAGGGAAGGAAGGAGGGAAGGGATGAAGGAAGAAGAAGAGTGAGGAATGGAAGAAAGGAGAGAAGGAAGGAAAGAAGTGCAGCAGCTGCTTGTTGGGGTTTAAAGTCTAGCTGAAAAAAGACAAAAGTCACTGCACAGCAAGTTAGTCTATGCCAAATGAGCCATTTCATGTTCTAAACAACACTGCAAGTGTCAGCCTTGGAAGTGTCAAGCAGTTTTCCTCATTTTATGCACTCTCTGCTTTGTTTTATTTTTCAGCTTTTTCATTCTACCGCTTTCTAAGAAATGCTGCTTCTGCTGTGATCACCTCTGCTTGAGAAGCTGCTGTTTGGTGCGCTGCCCGCAGCAAGGTGAGACCAGAACAAGGGATGTACTCCCAACTGATTGCAATTGGCCTCTGTGACACATTTCACAGACTCTGGAGCTGGGGATGGTTTCAATTTGCTGTACGGTTTGTAAGCATTCTCAGAGATGGTTTCAGCCAGCGCGAAGGTGCACGGATCTGCGCATGTGCGAATGGCAATGCGCCCTAATCCACTGGCGCTAGGACCTGGGCAGCGGCCAAGCATGCGCACTTGTGTTCGCGGACGCACGCCTGGCACCAATGACGGCGCAGGGCGCCCTATTTAAACCAGCCCTGCACAGACACTAGTTGATGTATGGTCTAATTATCCTGTGTTACTGTTCCTGTGTATCTGCTGTTTGACTTGTTGCCGACCCTGCCTGATCCTGACCTCTGCTGACTATCTCCTGGATCATTTGACTACTCTCCTGGATATTCCTATTGATCTGAACTCCTGTTACTGAACCCGGCGAGTGACCTGACTACTCTTTGCCTGCTGCCTTGTACTGCGCTGACCCCACCGTTACCGAACTGGCCTGTGTGACCACGCACACTTCTCTGCCATCCATCCGTCCTGTACGGATTCAGTCATCACTGCTCAGGCCTTCTGCCTCTTCACATCAGGCTCTCCACCTGTATATACCTCTGGCAGATCCCTCTACCACAGGCGGGTGTTCTCAGGGGCTGCGACCTGGTCATTATCTGCTCTAAGTACATCCCCACCATCAGGGGCCCTGGTGAACAAGCAGACTGGGACTTAGATTCCACGCTCTGGGGAATCCTGTTCTGTGGACTGCTAAAGATACTGTCAGACGGTGTCTGACAGAATCATATGGCCATGACAGAGCCTGGAAGAGGGCCATCCCCACTTGAGGACATATGTCAACATCTGGCGGCACTAACCCAAGCCGTCAAAACGCTCGAGGGTTACACACACCTCGGAGAATCAGATCCAGACGTTAGCTGCACCAACTGCTCCGTCCCAGAGCTCGGTTTCTCCTTCTGCAGGCGGAGAGCCTTCAGAAACTTCCACCCGAGCAGTAGTCACGTTGCCTCCACCAGAACCCCGCGTACCATTGCCGGAACATTTCAGTGGGGATCGAGCTAAATTCAGGGCCTTCCGGAACACATGCCAGCTGTATTTTAGCCTGCAGCCACGGATATTTTCTTCCAAATTGGTAAAAGTGGGGTTCATCGTCTCTTTACTCCAGGACGAGCCCCAGGGCTGGGCTCACCGACTAATGGAGACCCACAATCCTCATCTGGAGACCGTAACAGACTTCTTCAATGCAATGGCAGTCCTATAAGATGATCCGCAGTGGGCAGCATCCACAGAGACGGCCCTGAACTCCGTCAGGCAGGGCCGTCTCAGTATGCCTCTGAGTTCAGATGCTGGATGGGGGACACCCGGTGGAATGATGCCGCACTACGCCACCAGTTTTGCATGGGTCTGTCCGAGTCCCTTAAGTTTGCCAGGGTGGGCCTACCTGACTCTTTGGAGAACCTCATCACCCTGGCCATACAGATTGACCGCAGACTGCGGGAACGCAGATTAGAGAGGGGTCAGAGACCCACATGGGTACTTCCCCGTGCTCCAGTTCAATCTCTGCCAGAAGGATTGCATGCTTCATGCAATCGGATTCAGGTCAGGTGATTGACTTGGCCATTGCATAACATTCCACTTCTTTCCCTTAAAAAACTCTTTGGTTGCTTTTGCAGTATGCTTTGGGTCATTGTCCATCTGCACTGTGAAGCAGCGTCCAATGAGTTCTGAAGCATTTGGCTGAATATGAGCAATGCCTATGAATTCATTGCCTATGAATATGAGATATTGCCCGAAACACTTCAGAATACATCCTGCTGCTTTTATCAGCATTCACATCATCAATAAATACAAGAGAACCAGTTCCATTGTCAGCTATACATGCCCATGCCATGACACTAACACCACCATGCTTCACTGATGAGGTGGTATGCTTAGGATCATGAGCAGTTCCTTTCCTTCTCCATACTCTTCTCTTCCCATCATTCTGGTACAAGCTGATCTTGGTCTCATCTGTTCATAGGATGTTGTTCCGGAACTGTGAAGGCTTTTTTAGATGTCGTTTGACAAACTGTAATCTGGCCTTCCTGTTTTTGAGGCTCACTGTCAGGAATGGACTTGCCAGTAATGGTGGGACTCACCTGCCTTGTGAGCTGCAGTACCAGGGCTGGCCAGCGGGTGCTCTCAGCAATCAGAGACTCAACCCTGCAGCCAGCCAAACACCTGAAGCTGATTATGCAGGTGTATTTAAGGGATGGCCAGACCTGCAGTCTGTGCCTTGGTGTGTGTTTTTCCTGGGCCCCTGTATCTTGTTACCTGCATCCCTGTCCCACTGATTCGTTGCCAACCCTGCCTGATCCGGACCTCTGCTGACTTCTCCTGTTTGATCCCTGGCTTGTGACCCCGACCATTCTCTGCCTGACCCCCTGTACCTACCTGCCCATTAGTTGCTGTACCCGGCTCGTGACCTGACTACTCTCTGCCTGCTCCTCCTGTTCCTACCTGCCCGATTGTTATTGACCCGGCCTGCCTGACGATGCTTGCATTGTATGTATTGTTATCTGTGGGTGGTTTGGTTCGTTTTGCACTGTGTTATGTTTTAGTATTGCACTGCGTTTATATATTGTTAGTCTTTAATAAATTATATTGTTTATAACATATCTGAAGCCTGCGTTTCCCTGCGTCAGTTCACATACCTCTGGTCATACCCTGGAGCCCTGACATTACACCAAGGCCAATCCTGACCAGAAGTGGCTGCACAGGGAAGCCATCTTGGCTTGTTGCTGGGAAGGATGGATCTTGATGAGGTTGTGTATTTGTCACTGCTGGTTTTTGATGACAGAGAATATGCTTATCAGACTCTGAGAGAGTATACCCGGGATCAACTGCTAGAATGTATACAGATCGCTCATGTTCTAGTAGATCAGGGCACAGAGTTCTCTGAGGTGCAACCTTTGATTCAGGTTTGTGCAGAGTTGGCTTCATCTGGTACCCCTGAAAGCAGGAATGACTTTTTGCCACCATTTAGTGCAGACCAGGTAGAGTCCCTGGTATGGTTATTAGAGGATGATGTGGATTGCTTCTTGGAGCATTATGCTGCATGTTCACCACAGGTGTTAAGGGATTGTATAAACGCAGTGCAGTCTTTGACCAAACAGGCTTTGTGTAAGCTCAGCTTTGTTCAACCCATACTGCAGACATGGTCAGACTTGTTGCACCCAGCCTCAGTCAGCTTGCAAAAACCCAGTCCTGCTTCTAATCTATTTCTTCAAAGCTCTATTCCTGCATTCCCAACAGCACCTCCAGTTACAGCCCAGTATACCCTGCTATCTACCGCATGTCAGTACCCTGTTCCCACTCGCTGCACCTATCCTGCCTTTAACCCTGTAAAGAAGCCCTCTGTAGCAACTGTTCCCTCCCCTGTTCCATCCTCCAGCTCTTCTCTGTCTCCAGCTGCTCCATCCGTTTACAAACCTGTGCTTACTTACAGTGCTCCGGTAACTAAAACCAGGAAAAGGCGAAAGTTCTTTCCAACCAATACCATCCTGCCAGTATCCAAACCGGTCAGCCTCCCATCTGAGAACCTGCCTTCCATGGTGCAGCCTGGTGCCTCGGCGCCCACAATTCAGCCTGATGCCTCTACCCAGCCTGATGCCTCTACCCAGCCTGATGCCTCCATTCAGCCTGATGCCTCCATTCAGCCTGATGTCTCTACCCAGCATGATGTTTCTACCCAGGCTGATGAACTGATCCAGCCTGATGATTCCATTAGGCCAGTTGACTCAATGCCCGCTGTCGATCCATACGATCCGGTACCTGATGACCCAGTGCCCGCTGTCATGCCTGGTGACCCGATGCCCGCTGTCGGGCCAGACGATCCAATGTCTGACCCAGTGCCCGGGGTCATGCCAGTTGACTCGGAGCCCACTGTCGTGCCTGGTGACTCGGTGCCCACTGCCTTGCCAGATGACACGGTGCCCGCTGGCGAGCCAAATGACCTGATGCCTGGTGACCCAGTGCCCGCTGTCATGCCTGGTGACCCGATGCCCGCTGTCGAGCCAGACGATCCAACGCCAGATGACCCGGTGCCCGCTGTCGATCCAGACGATCCGGTACCTGATGACCCAGTGCCCACTGTCATGCCTGGTGACCCGATGCCCGCTGTCGGGCCAGACGATCCAATGTCTGACCCAGTGCCCGGGGTCATGCCAGTTGACTCGGAGCCCACTGTCGTGCCTGGTGACTCGGTGCCCACTGCCTTGCCAGATGACGCGGTGCCCGCTGTCGAGCCAAATGACCTGATGCCTGGTGACCCGATGCCCGCTGTCGAGCCAGACGATCCAATGTCTGACCCAGTGCCCGTGGTCATGCCAGTTGACTCGGAACCCACTGTCGTGCCTGGTGACTCGGTGCCCACTGCCTTGCCGGATGACGCGGTGCCCGCTGGTGAGCCAAATGACTGATGCCTGGTGACCCGATGCCCGTTGTCGTGCCTGACGACCCGGTGCCTGTCGCTCCGCCTGGGGGCCCAGTGCCTGCCGTCCCTCCTGGGGGTCCGGCGCCCGTCGCTCCGCCTGGGGGCCCAGCGCTCGCCGCTCCGCCTGGGGGCCTGGCGCCCGCCGCTCCGCCTGGGGGCCCGGTGCCCCGCCTGGGGGCCCGATGCCTGTCGCTCCGCCTGGTGGCCCAGTGCCTGCTGCTCCGCCTGGTGATCCGGTGTCCAGCCCGATGTGCCTCTGCCCGGAGTCCAGCCCGATGTGCCTCTGCCCGGAGTCCAGCCCGATGTGCCAGTCTTTGATATCCCGCCAGTTACCAGACCCGGGCGGTGGAACATTTTGCCCAGCTAGGACTGTTTGGAGCGTCCTGAGGCCGCTCCTTGAGGGGGGGTACTGTCAGGAATGGATTTGCCAACAATGGTGGGACTCACCTGCCTTGTGGGCTGCAGTACCAGGGATGGCCAGTGGGTGCTCTCAGCAATCAGAGACTCAACCCTGCAGTCAGCCAAGACACCTGAGGCTGATTACAGGTGTATTTAAGGGATGACCAGACCTGCAGTCTGTGCCTTGGTGTGTGTGTTTTTCTATGGGTCCCTGTATCTTGTTACCTGCATCCCTGTTCCTGTTCCTGTCTGACTGATTCGTTGCCGACCCTGCCTGATCCGGACCTCTGCTGACTTCTCCTGTTTGATCCCTGGCTTGTGACCCCGATCATTCTCTGCCTGACCCCCTGTACCTACCTGCCCGTTAGTTGCTGTACCCGGCTCGTGACCTGACTACTCTCTGCCTGCTCCTCCTGTTCCTACCTGCCGATTGTTATTGACCCGGCCTGCCTGACGACGCTTGCATTGTATGTATTGTTATCTGTGGGTGGTTTGGTTCGTTTGCACTGTGTTATGTTTTAGTATTGCACTGCGTTTATGTATTGTTAGTGTTAATAAATTATATTGTTTATAACATATCTGAAGCCTGCGTTTCCCTGCGTCAGTTCACATACCTCTGGTCATACCCTGGAGCCCTGACATCAACAATGGCATGGGCAGGAATGAACAACAATATAGGAATTAGAGTGATCTATGGAGTGGAGGAATACAGATCCCACCGTAGATATAAGTGGGGCATCCCCAAGCGGGCAATATACAGAGGTAATACAATAATTCCTTAACGTCTAAATGAGAAACCCATGCAGAGAAAAAAGGGGATGAGAGGGAGAGAGAGCGGGAAAAGAGGAGAAAGATGAAAGGAGGGTGAAAGGGAGAGAAGGAGAGAGAGGCAAATAGAGCAGAGAAAAAGAGAGAAGAGAAGGAGAAAAAAAAAAAAAGGGGGGGGGGACACTGTGTGTAGATTAATTGGGGGGGGGGGGGGGGAAGGGGAGCAGAGGGGGAGGGTCGGTTGACAGACATGGTATCAAAAGCTTACACGGTGGCCTACTGACAGCATTTCGTCGGTATGGTCCCCCTGGTCGCCCCCCCCAGAGCGGGTTATATAGCCATATCGGGGTGCATGCCAAGGGGGGTTGAGTATGACTCCTTTAAAAGCGCTACAGGGGCACACAGATCTCGTAGAAGTGAGGAGAAGGAGAAATGGAGCCAGGCTGACCATAACAGCTTGTGTTTATCATAAGTGTCATTGGCAAATGCCAACATTTCCTCCATGCGCATGGTATCATTAAGTACCGAGACCCACAGGGGGAGAGGCGGTTGTCGATTTCCGGATAGAAAGAAGCGCAACAAGCTTTTCTTCTGAGTAGCCAATGAGCCCGGTAGGATAGAGAGGAGGGCAATTTCTGGCGAGGGGGTCAGGGATTCCCTATAAATCTCGTCATATATAGCAAAGATCTGTCGCCAGAAGGGTTGTATTAGGTCGCAGTCCCACCAGATATGGAGCTGTGTACCGACCGCTTTAGTACAGCGCCAGCATAGGTTTGGCGTAGAGGGGGGAATATTTTGTGTAGAGAGAGGGGGTGCCTGTACCATCGGGCGAGGAGCTTAAAATTATTTTCTTGTGAATAGCAGGAAATAGACGATTTATGGGCGAAGTGATATGACTTGGACCAGTCTGCGTCCGATATATCTTTGCCGAGATCTCGCGCCCACGCCTTGGTGTAGGGCGGGGGTTCGGAGTAGAGAGCATTGTGTAGAATTTTATATAGGGTGGTTAGGGCATGTCTAGGCAGACTAGGGAGAGAGCATAGTCGCTCAAACTCAGTGAGCGGACGGTGGATGTTGGGAGAGGAGTGTAGGTGGTTGCAGAATGTGGATAAGCGTAAAGTCATCAACCAATCCCGAGATCCACCCCGGAGGAGCAGGAGACCTGATTGGGGACAGATAAAGTCAAGGGCGACGAGCCATGAGGTGCATGTGAAGGGACCGATGACAGAAGCGCCCACACTCTGAGGGAGAGCAGGGATGTCAAACAGGGGTGATAGTGAGGAGGGATCAGATGACAAAAGAGCGAACACGTACCATCTGTACCACAGACGCAATAAGGCCACAGTCAACGGGGACAGACCAGAGAGACACCGGTAAGTGTAACCCCAAGTTACCTCAAGTGTAACCCCACAGTAGGGTTCGGAGGTCAACCGGGACAGATCCTGTTCAATCATGCAGGAGGCTTTGAGGAAGGGCCAGGAAAACCAGTCTAGGATCCGGGCCGTCAGTGTGGCTCTGTAGTATAGTTCAAAGTCCGGTAGGCCTACACTGGCTCTGGACTTCGGGTACGTGAGCACTCTGCATTTTAGCCTTGAGAAACCTTGGCGCCAAATAAATCTGATGGAAAGGGAGCATAGGGAGAGGAAGAAACTCTTAGGGACAGTGATTGGTACGGTCTGGAAAACGTATAATAATTTTGGTAGGGTGTCCATTTTGAGGGTGTTGATGCGGCCCAACCAGGGCAGGCCTGAGGCACCCGAGGACGCCAAGTCCTTTCGGATACGAGACAATAGGGGTAGATAGTTAAGGGAATACAAAGCAGTGAGGTCAGCGGGGATCATAATCCCCAGATAAAATAAACTTATATATAAATATATATATAAAATCGAGCGCAGTATGAGGATGTAGATAGGGTAGCTGCTGGCACTGAAAGGCACCTCGTGAACCTCCAGAGTAATGGTAAAATATGAAAGTGCAGCGCTAACTTAAACAATGATTACACATAAGATAGATCCCATATGAATGTGGATCGGCAAAAAAGACGGCGTCAGTTCATCAGATGTGCTAAATACGTATACAGTCTCCAACACTTGAAGAGCCAGGGATAGTAGATATCAGCAATGATAAAGAAAAGCCAAGTAATGCACTGACCAGATAGCGCAAGTTAAAGCGCATGGGACATTTAAGACCTGTCCCTGGTACTCAGCCACTGTATCACTGGAGCCAGGCGGTGTCATCTGTAGGGTGACCACTAGATGTCATCTGTCCGGATGGAAGCTGTGTCCAGCCACTGTGTTGATGGATCAGGTGGGTGTTGTCTGTAGGGTGACCACTAGATGTCATCGGTTCCAGGAGAAGCTGTATCACGGATCCAGGGATGTCACTGCAGATGTGTTCTTGTTAGGCACAATCCCAGGACCTACTGGATTTACAGGCTCCCCAGAAATAAAGAGCCCGTGGAAAAAGGCCTCAAATAGTGTGATAACGTTTATTTAAAATTGAACAATCAGAAAAGAACTTACTTAGCAAAGGTACAGCTGCTTATAAACGGCCAGACCGGAGGTACATGTACATAAGATAAACAAAGCTTGGCACTTCCCTAACGCGTATCGTGTAAGTACACATCATCAGAGGGGCCCTCTTTTTTGCCGATCCACATTCATATGGGATCTATCTTATGTGTAATCATTGTTTAAGTTAGCGCTGCACTTTCATATTTTACCATAATCCCCAGATATTTAATAGCTGTTGGGCGCCATTGAAAAGAGAAGCTGGAGCAACTTCTCTTCGTTCGTCAACACATGGGCAGGTAGTGATACATTCAGGGCCTCGGTTTTAGAGATATTAAGTTTGAAGTTATTGAAGAGGCCGAATCTACAGAATTCATGAAAGAGACAGGGGAGTGATATGTTTGGTTGTTGGACATATACTAAGAGGTCGTCTGCGTATAAGGATAGTTTGTGATGCGCGGAGAGAGTGTGGATGCCTGTGATTTAATAATTCGCTTGTACGGCTCTCACTATGTGTTCCATTATCAAGACAAAGAGAAGAGGCGAGAATGGGCAACCCTGTCTAGTCCCGTTCATGATAGGGAAGGATGAGGAGGCTGTACCGTTCACCAGCACTGATGCGGAAGGGTGAGAGTAGAGGGACATAATCCGAGTTAGGCACCGTGAGCCCACACCTATCGGTTCTAAGGTAAGACGTAGGAAGCGCCAGTCAACGCGATAGAACGCCTTCTCAGCGTCAAATGACAGTAGACATGCCTTTAAGCCATGTCGCTTGATGTACGAGATGAGATGGATAGTTTTAGAAGTATTATCTCTAGCCTCACGGCCCGGGACAAAGCCAACCT